TGTGACTTGAGACTCGACGACATTGGATCCAGACTCGACATTGGGATTCAGACATCGACGGGGACTATTTGGGACATGTATCGCAGACTTGGTGTTGACGACATTCCCCATCTCCCCCTCTTCTTTGTCTAACCCCCCTCTTCTTCGTCTGTGTATGGCGGGGACTGGCGCATTCTTCCTGTGTGAGCGCCAGGCCCCTTCCCACCATGGAATGATGATGATGTGTGTTTGAGGCTGCATTGCAACATTGATTGTTCGGATCATTAGTATCTAAGTCTTCCGCTACGCTATCTTGTACTTTGTGAGAGAGGTCGGTTCTTGTTCTGGTCTGCACCTTCACGGTATGCAACAGTTTGGTATCGGAGCGGACCTCTCAATCAGAGGACCCGCTCAATCAAGTAGCCAGCTTGCTTGATCTATTGATTGTTTATTAGTAAATCAAGTAGGACCTCATCAAATCTCTGAATTTTTTTTTCTTTCTCGCAACAAATATCTGAAAATTCCTGATAATCGCATTTCGTTTCGCTGAAAATTTCTGATATTAGCATTTCGTTTTCACGCAACAAATATCTGAAAATTCCTGATAATAGCATTTCGTTTTATCTGAAAATTTCTGATATTAGCATTTCGTGTTCACGCAACAAATATCTGAAATTTTCTGAAAGTAGCATTTCGTTTTTCTGATATTTGCATACATAGCCAAAAAAATTCTGATATTAGCATTTCGTTTTCTAGGCCTATCAGGATAACGATAGAGGTGGTCATATTCTCGGAAACTGGATTTATTCTTATCTGAAAATTGAATCTCCATTCTATCTCGCAAATTTTTTTTTGAAAACCGAAATCTTGCGAAGCCTATCAGCATTTCGTTTTAAGCATATTAGGAGGTTGTCATATTCTCAGAAACTGGATTTAGTTCTTTTCTGAAAATCGCACCTCTACTGTATTTCGCAAAAAAAAATTCTCAAGATCGCATTTTTGTGAAAGCCGAGACTTTGCGGCACCTGGCCTAGATCTCGCTCGTAGTACTCTTCTGACGTACCTCACTCATAACAGATCGACAGAGATACAAAAAAAAAGGGGGGGTGAGCTTCTTCTTTTATTTTCTTATTATTTATTTTATTCTGTTGATTAGGACCGGGAGGAAAGTATAGCTTGGTTGGTTACCTACCTGCGTTTTCCCTCCCACCCACCCCTTTGCCTCCATTCCCGGTTTGGTACAGTGCCATGTCAGCAACAGTGCCACATCAGCAGTGCCACATCAGCAGTGCCACGTCAGCAACAATGCCATGTCAGCAGTGCCACATCAGCAACAGTGAGTGCCATGTCAGCAGTACCACGTCAGCAGTGCCACAGTGCCACGTCAGCAGTGCCCCGCCACCATGACGGGCTCAGTTCTTGGCATGCCAGGACAACTGGCCAATGAGTCCATTGCCGAGTACAGACAGCGTTTCGAAGCTCAGCTCGCACTAATCGAGGCTGAGGAACAGTGTCAGGCGGCAGCCGAGGCTGCCCGCCTACAAGCTGAAGCGGCGACAACAGCTGAAAAGCAGCGGCTTCAAGCCGAAGCAGAAGCAGATTCCCAGGCAGGCCGCAAGGAGGCCCAGGATCTGCTACAGCGGCATGAAGCCACCAGCATCGAAAAGCTCAAATTCTGGCATTTTGACCCATCCGAGCAGCACGAAGACGCGACACCGGAAGAATAGCACAAGGAGTTCTATGCCAAACTCGTGACCCGGTTGGTTTACACTTGTAACCACCTGCAGTCCGAGCTGGCGAATCTCCGACGGGCAGTGCAGAACCACAAGGGTCTGCACGAGGATGGGGCACTTGATTCCCGTGTACAGGACTTGGAGCAAGGTGCACCAAGACCAGATGCTGGCGAGTCCAGCAGTGCACCCTCTACCCGCCAATTGGAGGAACGAGTTGACCACGCAGTCGCAATGCTCGGCGACATCAGCACCTTCGCTGCACCAGCAACCATCAGCAAGCAGCTGGACACCTTGAAGACCGAGGTTCAGCAACTGCACCAGCGGCCCAACACAGAGGGCAACACCAGTACGCAGCACTACAAGATGCCGACATTCCAAATCGAGAAGTTCGATGATTATAAGCATCAAGACCCAGTTCCCTGGTGGGAGGGCTTTACGATGCAACTTCGGATTATTTTCGTCCCCGAGCACTCGTACATCGGCGCGTAGTTCCTCAACTCAAAGGGTGGATGCCAGATCTGGCTCAACCACTTGGCAACCATTCACGGCGTCCAGGTCGCAGATCTGAAAGATAAGATCTCTTAGGAAGAGTTAACAAGGCTATGGAAGGAGCGGTTCATCGTGGACGACGCCCCGACATTCGCCATCAACCGCCTCTTCGCTATGACGCAAGGCAACACATCGACACGCGACTGGCTCATGGAATGGCAAAAGATCGCGGCGATGCCCGATCTCGAATTGTCATTTTCGCATGTGCACCGAGAGTTCTACAACCGGTCATGTGTCGCCTTGAGCCTTGCACTTGGTGATCGCGAGCAATACGCGACCTTCGCCGAAATCATCGACAAGGCAAGGGAGACCATAAAGACCAATAGGGCGGCTGCACACGAGAAGTCAGCATGGCAGCCAACCTATGTGGAGAAAGGAAAATTTGGTCTGTGTCCGCAGCAAGTCGCTGCAGTCCAACCGGACAACATTGTGGAAGACCCGGCAGCCACCCAAGCATCACGTGAGGGAGGTCAGGCGGCTGCTGTCCAACCGTGAAGCAACAACAACTCCCAAGGAAAAGGGAAGGCGAAAACCGCATCGCCGGCCGGAAACGGACAGCCAACACCATGGGTCAAGTTTCACTTGACCGAGGCCGAATACAAGTGGCGTGGCCGGTATGGCTGTTGCTATTGGTGCAACAGCACCAAGCACAAGACCTCCCAATGCCCTGATCAAGGCAAGGAGGATGTTCGGCCTCGCATCAACTCGGAAAACTGAGTTGCGCTGGAGGTGAGGCGACTCCACCTCTCACTCCGCCTGATTCGGCCGCCTTGCTAGCGGCCTCCTACACATCTGGGGAGGATGCGAATGTCGCAAGTCCCCGGTTCACTTACGAGGATTATGCTGTCCATTTGGTCCCACCGTTGGACCAACCACTCCACGTGCAACAATCCACCGCATGCACGGTTTCACTACCATCGACAACCGATTCGGCAGCTTCGTCGCCATCTATCGCCGGGGATTCGACGACATGGTCAAGACTTGAAGAGCTCGACCCGTTGACGTTTGCGGACTTCCAATGAATGCCCCTTCCCCCGTCCGGTCGATTGTCGAAACCGCATTGCAACGTGCTCATGGCACAATTGCGGGATTACTTGCACATTGCAGTACCAACTCCATTGATGGACGTCGCAATAGAGGTTGTCGACCTTTACGACTACATTGCGAAAATCGACCGTGAGTTCAAGACACAACGGTACGACGACATCGACGCGCCATTGTTATACATACACATTCAGATCGGAGAGGCAACCTGCAACGCTTTGATCGATTGCGGAGCTACTCGCAACTACATGAGCCAAGACTTTATGGTACGCGCTGGCCTTGGGCCACGCGTTCGGAGGAAGTCGCAGCCCACGCAAGTCACATTGACCGACGGTCACACGCACAAGTCAATCGACCGGTGCATTGATGTCGTCCCCATGTACTTTACCCCGCATGTAAGCGAGGTCGTGTCCTTCGACATTTTGGACACCAAGTTCGACATGATCTTGGGCATGTCATGGCTGCGAAGCGAGGATCACCAAGTGAACTTCTACCGCCGCACCGTTCACGTTCGTGACCGGAACAGACTACTAGTCCCATGCACGGTACCTCCTCCTCACCCTTCGATCAGCTGCCACGTGGTGTCCGCCGCAAGCATTCGAGCTTCCATCATCCGGGATGACATCGAGGAGATGGGGGTGTGTTTTCTCCACGCCCTCCCGCCCCAAGACATTCCATTGACGGACTCACCACCGGACCCACGAATCACCGAGCTTCTCGACGCCTACGGCGACGTGTTCGAAACCCCCCACGGAGTAGTACCGGATCGGCCCATCCACCACGAGATCATCCTCGAGGACGGGGCCGTACCTCCGCGTGGTTGCATCTACCGCATGAGCGAGGAAGAGTTAAGTGTGTTAAGGGCACAACTCGACGACCTTCTCGAGAAAGGTTGGATTCGGCCTAGCTCTTCGCCATACAGTTCTCCCGTTCTCTTCGTCCGGAAGAAGAACAAGGAATTGCGGTTGTGTATCGAATATCGCAAGCTCAATGCGCAAACCGTCAAGAACGTCGGCCCGCTTCCGCGCATCGACGACCTCCTCGAACGACTGAGCGGCGCCAAGTTCTTCTCCAAGCTTGACCTCAAATCGGGATATCACCAACTCGAGATCCGGCAGGAGGACCGCTACAAGACCGCGTTTAAGACGCGATATGGGCATTTTGAATGGCTGGTTATGCGTTTTGGCCTTACGAATGCCCCGGCCACATTCCAAGCGGCTATGACAACGGAGTTCCGACACATGCTGGATAGATTCGTACTCATCTACCTCGACGACATCCTGGTGTACAGCTGGAGTTAAGACGAGCATGTGGAACACCCGCCCACTGTTTTGGAGCGGCTACGACAAGCCAAGTACAAAGCCAACCGCGACAAATGCGAATTCGCGCGGCAAGAGCTGGAGTATTTGGGACATTATGTGATGTCGCAAGGCATCTGTCCGCTTGCGGACAAGATCGAGGCCATCAACGTATGGCCCGAGCCCACCAACACCACGGACGTTTGCTCATTCATGGGGTTGGCGGGCTACTATCAACGCTTCATCACCAGGTACTCAAGGATTGCCGCACCTATGACGAGATTACAATCGCCAAAGGTGCCATTCGTATTCAATGACGACGCACGCCGATCATTCCGAGCACTCAAGACAGCCATGCTCATGGCACCTGTCCTTAGCATCTACGACCTCACCCTGCCTTATGGCATTGGGGCAGTCTTGGAACAACACGAAGATGACGACTGGCACCCTGTGGAGTATTTCAGCCACAAAGTGCTTCCCATCAATTCACTTGATGATGCAAGGAAGAAGGAGTTGCTCGCGTTCGTGATGGTTCTCAAGCGATGGCGGTACTTCCTCCTTGGGCGTCGTAGGTTCACATGGGTCATGAACAACAACCCATTGACCTACCACAAGACACAGGATACGGTGAGCAGCACGATTGGACGATGAATGTACTTCATCGACCAATTCGATTTCACACCGGAACGTCTCCCCGACCTCTCCAATCGCGCAACAGATGCACTCTCGCGAAGACCCGATCTTTGCGCTATGACACATCATGCCTTCGCATTCGACGAGGAACTCCAGCGACACTTCATCCGGGGCTATGAGTCTGATCCGGATTTTGCCACATTGTATGGGCAGCTATCTTCGGATCACCCGCCGGCCAGCCACTATCGCATCGTCGACGGGTACTTGATCCTCCACTCGAGAGGCAAGGACTTATTGTATGTCCCACGAGACCGTCGTCTTCGGACTCGCCTTCTCGGGGAGTACCATGACTCGCGACTCGCCGGGCATTTCGGAGTCAATCACACTATTGCACGACTTCGGCAACGATTTCGATGGCCCGACCTCATTACCGATGTCACTCGGTATTGCGATTCTTGCGAAGTTTGTCGATGAAGCAAACCCCGCAACCGCAATCCCTACGGCGAATTGCGCCCGATGCCTATCCCACAGGAACCCGGCCTCTCCATTGCCATGGACGTCACCGGTCCGTTTCCCTCGTGACCGGCTCGGGCACGACGGCATCCTCACGGTAGTGGACGGTTTGAGTAAATATGCACGAATTCTTCCTTGCAAGTACTACGCCACGGCACCCGAACTTGCGCGCCTCCTACACACCAGCTGGATTTGCAGCCATGGCGTGCCAAAAGACATCGTCAGCGACCGCGACACGTGCTTCATGTCGGCATTTTGGACTTCTCTCATGTAGGAATTCGGCACGAAGATGAAACCAAGTTCGGCTCGGCATCCACAAACGGACAGGCAAACGGAGCGGGCACATCAAACCGCTCAAATGATGCTCCGTACACTCATCCGACCGGATCAGAAGGATTGGGTTGACCGCCTCCCCGACATCGAGTTCGCCTACAACACTTCATTGCATCCGGTGATCGGCATAACTCCATTCGAGTTGCACCATGGTGGTCGGAAAGGCCGTATCTTCACTGATCTTCTCCTCCCACGAACAGCCGACATAGACGCTGCTTGCTCCCCCGCTTTCGTTCGGAAGTACAGGGAACTGTTGGCTCAAGCCCGCGCGAACATGCAAAAGGCTCAAGTCCGCATGCAACAGCAAGCCAACAGGCATCGCGTGCCATGTCCCATCCGCGCCGGTGATCTGGTGTGGGACTCCGCGGAAGAGTTTGCACTCGAGCAAGATGTTTCATGCAAACTATTTCCCAAGTGGTTTGGACCATGGCCCGTAACATCAGCCGCGGGCAATGAGCCCGATGGCCCCTCATTTGTGATCAACATCCCCCCGCATCTGACGGTCCATCCAGTCTTTCACGCCTCGAAGCTGGCAATATATACACCAGCTAAGAGCGACGACTTCCCGAGCCGACGATCGCAGGACCCTCCATCTATGGATGGTCATCACGAAGTTGACCGCGTCATCATGGATCGCAAGTATGGCTGCAAGCCTCGACAGTACAAAGTTACATTCAAAGCATGCGATCCCGACGACACTCGGTAGATTTCAGGAACAAATTTGAAAGCATCCGCACCGCTGATCTACGCTCACTACGAGCGACAAAGGTTAGCTCATGGAACTTCACGACCTGCCCCTCCCACCCCGACTGTGGTCCCTCGCTCAAACAGACAGCTTCACCCTCGCAGGTAAGCTCGGTCTTTCAAGGAGGGGGGGGTGAGGCATACTGCGCAGCCACACTGGCCTGCAGGGCCCGTCCCGCGGTCTCAGCCTAAAAGCCTAGAAACAAGGGCTTACAGGCCCCGTGTCGTTTCAGCCTGAAAGCCTGAAAACGAGGGCCTGCAAGCCCTATGTCTAAAACAGGGCCTTCCAGGCCCTGAGTCTTTTCAGCCTGAAACGAAGGGCCACTTTCGGGCCCTCATAAGATCGACCTGCCCTAACACTCAGGCACCAAACCAAGGTTTCGGGAACAGGCTATTTTTGGCCTGTTCCCACAACAGCCTCAACAGGAGCTACTGGGGCAGGCCCTGGCTCACTTCGGCATTGGCAAGAGCAGCCTCTTGGACTGGCCCGCCCTGCGGCTGCAGGCAGTCAGGAGGCAGGCCGAGGTAGTACATAGGGAGTTCCCATGCACTTCACAGTAGGCAGAAGGCAGAAGGCAGTCTTCAGGATTCGGCAGCAGCACTCTGGAGGAGCGCTGCAGGAGTAGCGTTAGCGCTAGTAGTAGTCTTCAGCGCTGGGCGCTAGTAGCTGCAGGAGTAGTCTTCAGCGCAGGGCGCTAGTAGTAATAGTGGTAGTAGTGTTGGAGAGAGGTGGCTGGCGGAGGCCAGTGAGACTTACCTGTGGCGCCATAGCTCCAGCTCCATCTTCGAGGTACCTGTATCAAGGCGCCAGCTTCACATGTTAGTACCGGACAGAGAGAGAGAGAAAGTTTTTCTTCTTCCTCTTCTAAGTCCACCATCTCTTCTTCACCCTCTCACTACCTGACTTCTCAGTATCCGCGGACTACGAGAGAGAGAGAGAGAGAGAGAGAGA